ATCTGTGATTGTAACCATTTTTCTTCACTAATATTTGATATTTTACCCATTACAATGTTTGCACACCAATGTGAAACCACTCCTTTTTGATCTAGGGAGATTTGCACCTGCACAGTTACCAGTGCTTTCAATGCTCTGAGGTTTCAGATATAGTCCATTGAATGGAAAATGTTAATATCGGGAAAAATTACTTACAGAAAGAATTGGTTAGTTCTGGTGTTATTAGTAAAGTGAGCTGGGTGAGAGAGCTCAGGAAGTGCTAAACTGACACTTTGGCTTTCAGTGGTGTTCTGTATTTCCCTGTTAATTTTTTGGTACTGTCTAGATAAAAGTTGAACTGTCAGCAACAGCTCTTTGAATTTTTAGAGAATGTTGGCAAATCCCTCTAAGGGATTAAGGGGTTCCCTTAAGATTTAACACCTCTTCCACTCTAGTCTAATGGAATAAAGCCATGGATCTTTCATGGCCATAGAAAACCACTTATTTTCCCCCCTGGAGTTGATACTCATGTATATCTTATTCCTTCCTCTGTGTGTACAGATAAATTAGCATTTAAACTACAGGTAATTTAGAGTTAAATAATATATTTCAAACCCAAATCAATCCTCCTTGATTTATATTAACACTGTATTTGGGCATTTTGTTCCAGTAATTTTGCATATTGCTCAAATCAGGAAAATCTTCAAGTGTATTCTACTTATCTCTTGGTTGATATATTTGTTTTTTTTTTCAGTTTTCTAATGTGTGTGCCTCTAATTACAGTTTTAAGAAGGACTCAAAACAGGAGTAAATATTTATTTGGTGTATTCATAAATGGAGGGAGGCTTATATTCTGCTTTTATTTTTATTTTATTTTTTAAATTATCTCTCTTTATATCTGCGGTTTGGTGGATGCTTGTGTATAATTCCAGTGTCACACACATTCTGCACACAAGTCCCTACTTGTGATCTGTTCCTATGGTTCTAACATCTACATTGAGGTTGGATTGTAGCATTCACTCATATTAAATATTTTATTGATATGTTTTGATTTATATACTTATAATACTTAACAATAAAAAGATATTTGCATACATATGAATTGCCTTATGTAGTTTTCTGTATTGTGATTTCTTTATCTTAAAATTACTACACTGTTGTAATATTATAACATGTATTAGTGTCAGGTAATGATCACTAGTACATTTGCTCTTATATATGAGAGAGTTCTTGGCTAATTTTTTATACATTTAAATTTCCAGGGGGCTGGGGATGTGGCTCAAGCGGTAGCGCGCTTGCCTGGCATGCGTGCGGCCCGGGTTCGATCCTCAGCACCACATAACAAAGATGTGTCCGCCAAATACTAAAAAATAAATAAAAAATAAAAAATAAATTTCCAGGAAAATCTTAGAAGTTTTTGGTTTGATTTCTTCTTTAACAAAAAGTAAAGCATGGTAAAATTTTGACCAGTTAATATTATAGGTTAACTTGGGAAAATGGTCATTTTTATAATAGATTTATCCTTTGTAAATATGTTGAATATTTGAGTCTTTTATGTGCTTTTCAATATTTTTTATTTTCTGAAATATTGCAAATTCCTTTTGTAAATATACTTGCATATTAAATGCAATATTCATGTGACATTGGCATAAAACATACATGGTATTTTGTAGTTTTGTCAAACTGAATATAATACATCAACAATAATTCTAACTATTAGAATTTACTATTTATAAAATTTAATAATTATTTCTTCCTCTGTAACCATTCCCCTTGGTTTCAATGCTGGAGGAATATGGCTGTATTCTCATATGTACAGTTGTTGTAATTTTAGTCTCTGTTTCTTGTGTGGGTATATCATATATATTTGACAAAACAGTTTGTACAAATTGATAATAAAAGCTTAAATTATTATTTCCCACTTTTGTGAATGCATTCATTCCACATATTCATCAATACTATTTAATTTATCTATATGATGTGATTTTATTCAATGTTACCTAATTTCTAAAGATTTTGAGTTTTTATGATTATTGAACACTTAGATATATCCTTTTTAAAGTGTTTCTTCAAGAATTTATTCTGCTTTTGCAATCTGTTTTATATTTTGTTTCTTCTTATAAGTATTTGATTATATGAGGAAATTAGATATTTTTACCTTGTCACTTTTGCACCTTTAATGTAATAATTTGATGAATAGATTTTTATATTAATATTTTGTAATTCATAAGTTTAAACATATTATATTGTACAATTTTGAAAACAAAAACTATTGTTTTTCTATTGTGATATTAGGGGTTCAACCAAAGTGTCCTATTGCTGAGCATATTCTCAATTGTGTTTTAAATTTTATTTCCAGATGAGGTTTGCTCAATTTCTTCAGTTGGCCTTAAATTTTCAACTTCATTTCTTAGACTCCAGAATAGAAGATATTTCAGGTGTGCACCACCATATGCACCCTATCTTTTGTATGAAAACTTTTGAGCTTGTACTTTCTTATATATTTCAGTATTATTGATTAATAACTTATATTCAGCATTTAATGTGTCAAAATATGTTGTTATATTTTATGAGTGAAGGCATAAAATAGCATTTTATTATCACACTGTTTTCCCAATATCCTAGCATCTTTCTTTGAAATGAATACCATTTTTTCTCTTCCCTGCACTGTAATCTTCATTATGTATCACTGCCTAAATAACAAGAGACTTATGAAGAGTTTTGTTGTTGTTGTTTTCTGTAGTTCCACCATATATTTTATTATGAGGTTTACTCTGATTGATTTAATTTCATAACATCAATCATGTGGCATCATGGTAGTTTGGTAAGCAGTAGACTTTATCTACAACAGTGGATATAGCAAATATCTTAGCCATGTACTAGTCTATACCATCCAGATTCTTGTCATTACACTCAGAGAATTGGAAAATTGCAGAAGATTCTTAGGAAAAATTTTCCAGAGTGTATTTACATCAAGTGAGAAATTATTATATATGCATATATTTGCAATTATATACTGTATAATTGATATAATTTTTATTTGTTGAATGTTAAAATTTGCTAGTGGTTTTTAAATTGTATCTTTTTAAATTTTTTTATTTGTACTGAAGACTGAACTCAGGGGTGCTTAACCATAAAGCCACATCCTCAGTCCTTTTTTTATATTTTATTTAGAGACAGAGTCTTGCTGAGTGGCTAAGTGCTCACCAAGTTGCTCAATACTATATATCTATGTCTATGTCTATATCTATATCTATATCTATCTATCTATCTATATCTATATCTATATATCTATATCTATATCTATCTATCTATCTATCTATATATATATATATATATATATGACAATATTATATATAATATTGTCTAACAATTTATGATCTTTTTTTTTATCCTCCTCAGTCACTGGAACTACAATTGTCTATCACTAGACCTGGCTCATTTGCTTTTTAAAAGCACCAACATTGATATTGGTAACTCTCTCTGTGCTATGTTCATCTTTAATAGCTTCTAATTTTGCTCTTTTGCTTAAGATTTTCTTTACTTTTAGTTTATAAAATTTACTTTTCATTGGGATGGATGATTTGATAATAAATTCTAGTCATTTTATGGCTTAAAAACTTTTTTCTGTATGTTTTATTTCAACCTCAGGTTTAGATGAATTCCATTTTTTTAGCTGTATGGAGGTCTAAGTGAAACATAATAACCTGTATGGATATTGTTAAATAAATGGAACCACAATTTTGCCAAGTTTTTTGACTGTACAGTATATACCCAAATAACATAAAATCAGCATACTACATTGACACAGCCACATTAATATTTATAGCAGCACAATTCAAAATAGCTAAGCTATAAAGCCAACCATTCAATGATAAATGGGTCCATTCAGTGATGACAGGATAAAAAATTGTTGCTTTATCCTATGTACACAATAAACTATGAATCAGCCATAAAGAAGAATGACTTTATGACATTTGTCAGTAAATGGATGAATCTGGAGATTTTATGCTAAGTAAAACAAACCATTTCTTTAAAACCAAAGATTGAAAGTTTTTGCTGATATGTAAAATCTAAAGCTCATAAAGCGGAAAAGGGTAAGAAAAAAAATCAGTAGATTGCACAATGGTAAACAATAAATAAACAAATAAAGGAAGGGGATGGAAAATTTAAAGATATATATATATATATATCTCCTACCATGATAGCCACCAACAAGAACAGGATTTTAATTAGGATAAGATATATCCCATGCTTGCATAATGCCATAAAAATTGATTTTACTATCAGGTAGAATTAGAAAGAACCAATAAAATAAAAAACAAATTATATTTGTTTGAAAAGCTATATGTATGTTCTATTATAAACATCATACAATATATACATCAAAGTTTTTATATATATGTATATATTATTTTGTATGTTATAAATTGTTAAAATTATAAAAAAGGAAAATCTAAACAGGATTGTTTTTGCTATTTTTTATATTAATAAGTACCATAAAATGTTTGAACTTAAATTCACTGTTAAATATTTTCATTAAGTGGACTGTCTACCTTGTTAAATTTCAAAATTCCTCTTATACTATTGGTATTGGAATTACTAGAGATCTCACTAAATATTTAGAAGAGCCAGCTCCATCAGAGAAATTACAATAAGATTCTACACTTTCGTAAATCTCTGATTAGTGGTTGTGCAATTAAAATTTGAGGATTCCCTTTTTAATTAACATAATTTTCTCATCTGAACAATATGTATAATTTAGATCATAATATAAAAAATTAAAAAATATATATTTTTGTAGTAATTCCTGAGTTTTATATTGTGTTTCATAAATGCGGAGTATATATATATTTTTGAACTTAAATCACTTTATCTGCAGAAGTAGATAATAGTATCATTGTGTTCCAAAACCACCAACATGATAGTCCACTAACTCTCATTTCAACTTCAATTACCTTACAGACTGTGCAAATGTTCATGTGGTCAATGTGTTATTTATTTACCTATTCTTATTTCAGGTACTGTTAACATTCAGGGATATAGCCATTGATTTTACTGAAGAGGAGTGGGAATGCCTTCAGCCTGCTCAGAAAAACTTATATAAAGATGTAATGTTAGAGAACTATAGAAACTTTGCCTTCCTTGGTAAGTTTAATTTCCCTTTAAAATTTTTAATTAATAATTATTATTTAATTTACTTCTGTTGTATCTTCTGGGAACTTCTCAATAAGAATGAGTTTCAGATTTGTGTTTCAAAGAAAAAGGGCATTTTTAGAATAGATATTTTACTCTTTAATATATATTATTTTGCACTTTAATCTTTCTCTTTCTCAGTGTGTTATACATCCTTCACTTTAGATAATTAGTACCTAGCATAATTTAGTGATGTAAACTACTGTAGCCTACACATAGCAGGGGGAAGAGTTGAGACGTTCAAATGGAGAAAACAAAACTAAAAAATGTTGGCAGAGTAGTTATTAAGCAGAAAAAAATTTTCAGAAGCTTAGCTTTATTTCTTTTGATTTTAGTCATTGAACACATACTGCCCTACATTTATTACATTCTCAAATTCTTTGTAGTCTTCTGTTTTCTTCTTTACTGATGTCCCAGTTCATTCAGTTTAACCATTAAAACTTACACTTTGTTGTGAGGGCCAGCATGATCTGTTACAAATCTTGTGAGGAAACCTGTAAAGAAGCTAACAGAAGAGAGAGACACATTCACAGTGAAAAGGAAAAAAGAAAAAAAAAAAAGACCTGGCCACTCCTCTTCACGGCTGCACATAGTATACCCCAAAATTACATAGCTTCTGTTACCATGACTACATTCTAACCTAGTGTTATTTTAACCCCAAGTGCTAGCTAACCAAGATAAGGTACAGTTACTACAAACATAGAGCCCCTTCTCCCTAAGGACATTACCAGAGAAACTAGATAGTGCACCTGTAGAGTTGTCTTAATAGCTTCAGGGAGAAACTGCTAGCATTACTAATTGTGGAACTCAGGGTGACAGTTATCATCACCCCCGCACTTTCCTGTCTATTTCCAAGGTCAGAATACCTACAGCCTCCCCTCCTTTTAAAAGGCCTTTTGAATAAATAATATTTCTTATCTTCTTAATGCTGGTGGGTGCAAAAATAAGGCAGCTATAGACAACAGCAAGTGCCAACATCAGTAAACATCCACCTATGAATATTTTTTGACCCAGATGAAATTGAATAAACATGAAATTATCCAATCCAACAAGTCTAAACATCAATCATCTTGTTGGACCTTATTAATGATAGCTTTAAGGTAATTTAACTCTTTTCAAATAAAATTACTATTATCACTTAAATTGAAGGAACACATGTTATTAAACTTTGGATATCCATTATGATGTAACAATACCAGACAATCAATTGCAGCATGAATGTCAAGTATGGCTTGACAAGGTTGTTTTTGTTCTTCATTAAGCATATTAATGGCCATGGAGGCATGGCTAATACTTTTTATGATAGCATAGGTGAGTTTCATAGTAGTTTTGTAAGCCCATAGAGCTAGTCCAGGGAAACCCTCTAAGGAGAATGCAAAACATCAAATTTTGCCTTAGAGAGAAGGTTCACTGAATTATCACAGTTTTTATCAAGAGGAATAGCTCTTTTATAAACAAATTGCACAGGATGGTGACCTATTAAATACTATGATAAAGACACAGTTATTCTGCTAAGACAACAAAGAATACCATGAGACAGTTTTGCAGGTATATAACAATTTCATTCAAGTGAGTCAAGATATTGTACTGGGTTGTAGAAGTCCAGGATCTGACAGTAGGGAATTTCCCATAGCTGGTGTACAAAAACAGAGCAACATTGTTATTAAGACCAAAACATTTACAGATTTTTGTGTGAGTTTAGCAATCAAAGCAGTAACTAAGTTATCCAGAGTACATTCTAACCTATTTGAGCCAACATCTTTTGAGCTGAGGCTCTTAATGGTTTTATATCCCCCCAAGTAACTGGAATTAATTATAGTATTGTGGGTTCCTCTTTTAATATTTCTCCTCTTTTGAGGAGAATGATTATTCTCTTCTTTGAAGGGACTCTTCTCTTCCAGGGTTAAATGAAACTTATGAATCAGCTTGTGAAGTCCTTGATGTACATTTATAATTGCTATATTTCAAACATCAAGCTAGAGTCCAAACAGGACATGTTGGCATAAGTGTAGCAGTCCATGCTTTTCCCCAGGTGATCAAAGGCATAGGATCTTGTCATTCTGGTCAGGTGGAATCTTATATATTGCATACTTTTTTGGTAATGACTTTTTGAGAATAGAATGTCTATTCAATGCAGATGACCAATTTTGAGTATTAACTTTATTGAGCACATGAACAGTAAATAAAACAATATTTAATGCATATTAAAATGAGAGAGGCTAGATCTTTGTTTGTTTGTCTCAGTATTAAAATGTAAGTATTAGGATACAATTTGCTCACTCAAAAAAGCTTGTCCCAAAGAATTATGAGAAATTTCATCATTTAAAACTATATCTCATTGATTAAAAATTGTGCAAAAGGATGAGATGTAAAGGCAGGGGGATTACCCATCTTTAAACAAATAGGGCTTCTAGGAGCATATCATGCTTGGTTTCTCTCCATGCTCTCTGCTGGAACTGACTTGGCAGTTTTTTTTTTTGTTGTTGTTTTTTTAGATTCAATTCTATTAGTCAATTTTTTCTTTTGTTTTGTGACTTGCAATAATGAATAGCTTATTATACTTCTACTTTGTAAGTTGTTAAATTTCTTATTTTTTTCTATTTTGCTTAATGATTTAATTTCTGGATCATGCTTGGATTCTTTTCACACTTCTCTCTCTCTCTGTCTCATATATATATATATATTCCCTTTATATATCCTACAGGCTTTTAATTTTTACAGTATTTCACAAGTTGCTTAGACTTGTCTTTAACTTGGTCCTGTTTGATAAGCCTCTCCCATATTGGTAGAATTTCAGCTTTGCACACTAGGAATCCCCCTGTCATTTATTCTTAAGGAATTATTCACATACACAATTTGTGCATAATTATATTAATACTTTTTGTCTCAATTTTCTCTCTTAACTTTCTTTAAATAGTTATTTAGAGTTCTTTGAGTAATTCATAACTGTCAGTATCCTAATATTCAGTTCTTAATGTTTTCTTTTTCTTCTTTTGTTACTTGGATTAAGCCATGCTTCTCTTTCTTTATATTTGCTGTACTATTTTTTATTTGTTCATTAAAGGAGCCAACAGTAGATTATATAGTCCATTTTGGGGAAAAAAGTATAAAAACATTTAAATAAATAAAAATACACAAGAACAGTGCTGTATCCTTGTAATATGTGCTAATTGAGAGGCCATGCAAAAGTACTTCATGTTTGAGGGAAGTCGAAGAAATTTAGAAGCAGCATGACTCAAACAATTTAAAAAAACTTGTGTTGTAGTTCAGTGATATAGAATTTTGGGGGTTAATCTCAAGCACCACACATGAAAAATTAAAAGTTGGATGACCTAAAGATTCAGAAATGCCAGTACTAAATATGTATCTATGAACAATTAAATTAGCGAATTGAAGTGATACCTCTGCTTTTGTGATTAGTGCAAACATTGTTCTCAGTATTAAAGCTAGGGACTCAGTGTGTGCCCATCAATTATCAAATGAGTAAAAATATTGCACTTATATACTATTATTATTTAGTTATGAAAATATTTTTTTCTCATAAAGTGTTTTAAGAAATACATGCAGGACTTTGCATTAAGTGAAATGTGGCAGGCAGGGATTAAGTTGCAGAAACATTTGATTCACATGTGGAAGTAAAAATTTAAGTGACTAAAATTGTGCTCACCAGGTACTGGGCTTTTTGTATGGTTGATATTATAGTCAAAGTCTCCATATTTTTATTTTATTGAGCATACGAGGGTCAAGAGTTTTGTTTTATCAAATGGTGAGTGTATTATGTTCTTCATTAATACTACTAGTAGAAGGAATGCAATACCTTGTAAGAACAAAACTGGTATTTATATTAAATAATAATTGTGTTAATACATTCTGTTTAGTCATTTTACCTTTTATATATAGTATGAAATACCATGATATATTTAGTAAATAAACAAAGTAGTATTTGTCAGTGAAAGAAATCATCATATCACATGAATTTAAAAATATGAAAATCAATTTATTATAGTTGATTGTCAAGTGTTGACTTCAGCCAAGTATTATGGCATAGGCTATGCAAGGTTTTTATAGTCAAAGTCTCCATATTTTTATTTTATTTTGTTGACTTTATGCAAGTATTATGGCAAAGGGTTATGCAAGGTTTTATAGTCTTTTAAAATGTTTTTATGGAAAATTTTATAGACATATATGTGTATATTTCTTAGTAAATTTTTTGTTCATATTTCTTGTTAAGAGTCCATAGCCTCTTTAGTCTTGTTGACTATTTGTGGTATTATCACTCAAATTCTACCAGTTATTTTCACATCTCTATGTCATGGTAGACAAAAACCAGTTTTTGGACACTCTTTGAAAAAGACACAAATGTTTGTATATGTTTTACATTTCTCTTATTCTACTGAGAGTAAAGGTAGCTGGTAGATATTTTCTAAATATGTAATTCTATATTATGGAGGACAAAAGGCTGTGGATGATAAAAGTAAAATACTTTCCTTCTCTTTATTATAATACTCTTCTCAATAATGTACTCCTCTTGGATACTGTGGTCTCTAAAACAATTTGGGTAATATTCTCAATGTAATTGTGTCTGTACATTTTTAATGAACTGATATATTTTAGAATTTATGATGTCTTTGAACGTACTAATCTGCTACACTCCTGATGTACTTATTTTAACTTAATTTCATGTTACGTATGCAAAGTATATTTATCCTACTCTAATAGGTATTGTTATGTTTAACTTTTGTTTATTTCAGCCATGACTCCTCAAGATACTCAAGAATATTCAACAGAAAAGGGCATAAAACATATATTTCACAATGTGATAAGTGGAAAATATAGAAGTTGTAATCTTGACTGTTTACAACAAGAGAAAATATGGAAAACTACAAGTGAGAGTGAACACCAGAAATCATATAAAAATTCAGACCTTGTTCACAGAGAATTTATACTGGAGAGAACCCCTACAAATATAAACAATGTGGCAAAGCTTTTAGTAAAAAATTAGGTCTTATTTACCACAGAAGAACCCACATTAGAGAGAAGCCCTACAAATGTAAAGAGTGTGGAAAAGTTTTCATTCAAAAAGTAGGCCTTACTTGTCACAGGAGAATTCACACTGGAGAAAAGCCCTACAAATGTAAGGAATGTGGCAAAGCTTTCAGTCAAAAATCACACCTTGTTCGCCACAGCAGAACACACACTGGAGAGAAGCCCTACGAATGTAAAGAATGTGGCAAAGCTTTTAGTCAAAAACCAGACCTTTTTAGGCACAGCAGAACTCACACTGGAGAGAAGCCCTACAAATGTGAAGAATGTGGCAAAGGTTTTAGTCAAAAACCAGACCTTTTTATGCACAGGAGAACTCACACTGGAGAAAAGCCCTACAAATGTAAAGAATGTGGCAAAGCTTTCAGTAAAATATCACACCTTATTCGCCACAGGAGAACTCATACTGGAGAGAAGCCCTACAAATGTAAAGAATGTGGCAAAGCTTTCAGTACAAAAACACACCTTATTAGCCACAGAAGAACTCACACTGGAGAGAAGCCCTACAAATGTAAAGAATGTGGAAAATCTTACAGTGAAAAATCACACCTTATTGGCCATAGAATAACTCACACAGGAGAAAAGCCCTACAAATGTAAAGAATGTGGCAAAGCTTTCAGTCAAAAGTCAAACCTTATTGCCCACAGGAGAACTCACACTGGAGAGAAGCCCTACAAATGTAAAGAATGTGGCAAAGCTTTTAGTCAAAAACCAGAACTTTTTAGGCACAGCAGAACTCACACTGGAGAGAAGCCCTACAAATGTAATGAATGTGGAAAAGCTTACAGTCAGAAATCACACCTTATTTGCCACAACTGAACTCACACTGGAGTGAAGCCCAACAAATGCAAAGTATGTAACAAAGATTTTACTCAAATATCAACCCTTATTTGCCACAACAGAATTCACACTGGAGAATAGCCCTAAAAATGTGAATAAGTGGCAAAACTTTTAATAAAAAATAAAACTTTATTCACCACAGCAGAAGACACCCTGGTGAATGTGAAATGTAAATAAAGTGATAATACTTTTAAAGAAAAACTAAACCTCATTAACAACAGAATTTATACAGAAAAGAACCCCTGCAAATGAAAACAATGTAGCAAAGCTTTTAATAAGAAATCAATTCTTTTTCATCACTAAGCTATTTATTCTGAAAAGAAGACATAAATGTAGAGAATGTAGAGACATTTTAAATTATATATCATATATTATTAGACATCAGAGAAAACACACTGGAGAGAAGCTTTACAACTGAGACCATCGTACCATTCCTCTAAGAAAGAGTCAACATTTAATCCTCACCACAATAACCATAGAAGAGACAAAGTTTTGAAATGTGAAAATTGACAATGTGACAATGCCTCCAAAATTTATTCACCAATACTCAGCACCTGTGGATACATACTGGTTAGAGAGAATACAAATGGAAAAAAAAAAAAACAAAACATTTCATAACCACATGTTTCTTAAACACTACTGATTTTTGGAGGATTCTATTTTCATTTTTGAATACTGGAGAAAAGAATTATATGAAATCTATTTTTTGATGTTTAACAATAAATTGTAACATTTTAAACTGTATTTCAGTTTATTTAAACTGTATTTCAGTTTATATTTAGGGATTTTTAAACACTGAGCCACATTCCTAAGCCCTCTCCCCACTTTTTTAAATTTTGAGACTGTCTTGCTAAGTTTCTTGAAACCACACTAAGTTGCTGAGGCTGAACTTAAACTTCTGAAACTAATCAGTTTCCCAATTTTCTTGGATTACAAGCATGAACCATCCTGCCCAATTTATAGTGCATTTTTTTTACCTATATGACTTGGGTGAATACATGAGGCTTAAAATGCAGCTGCATGAGTTTGAGTCCTTTCACTGGTAAAAAAAAAATACTATAATTTGTACTCTAATAGAAGACTCAAAATGGTGCTAGACAAACCTATTTTTTTCAATCTGCCTCTTTATTCATGGTATTCTAATTATTTTGATCTTGTCAGTTTTGACCATTTCTGATTAATGGGTATCAGAAAGATGGAGCCATGTATTCAAATTCCCTCTATGATCAATAGCAATTCTTCCCATTAAAAATCAAAATATTTTCATAGAGTCTTTGCTATATTTTAAGGAGCCACTCTTGCTTTTGTTTAGTAAAACAGAATCAATTCCACATTGTTGAGTCCCAAATTAATAGCAATATATTAACCTAAGCACCATGAGTAATATAAGAAATACAAGATATCACCTTTGAAATATAAAAAAAAATAAGAATAATAAATGCTAAGCCATTACCATCTAAACTATACCAGGGCTTTTAAAATATATTCTTAGATGTTCTACTCACTCTCATAGTAAGAGGCCTTAGACTCAAAGTCATTTTTTTTTTTTTTGGTTTTAGTCTGTTTTATAATGCTATAGAAAAATACCAGAACCAGGCCAATGTATAAAAAGAGATATAAATGCATGAAAATATTTTCTGAGGGGCTGGGGTTTTGGCTCAGTGGTAGAGTGCTCACCTAGCACATGCAAGGATCTGAGTTCAATCCTCAGCACCACATAAAAATAAATAAATAAATAAAATAAAGGTATAAATAAATAAATAAAATAAAGGTATTGTTGTAAACTCAACAAACAAATAAATAAATAAATAAATATTTTTTTGAGTACATACTTCTGAAGATTTAAGTGCATTGTACCAGAATCTTCTCAGCTCTTGTGGCAGCCCCTTCACCTGCTTTACACATGAGATGGCATTATGGTGAGGGCTCATTTGAGAGGTAGAGAGAACATAAGGAGACAGAAAGTCAGAGAAATTCAGTAAGAAGACTTGCTCTTTTTGTAACAATCTGCTTTAATAGGAACTATCTTGTATCCCATGAAATTTCATTAACTCTTTCCAAGGGCATCTCCCCCAATGATCTAAACAGAATCTACTAGATCTCAGTTCTTACACATTCTACTATTTTCCAACTCTCTCCCTTTGGAAACTAAGTTCCTAACACATGAGCATTTGAGGGACATACTCAATTAATAATGAAAGTAATATGAGAAAGAAAATGGTAAAAATGAGACATAGAATGTCATTTCTTAGTATTTATAAAGATTCTAGATACTACAATAAAATGCTTTAGAATATAGAAATTATTTTAGGTGGAGATTTTATTTTAAAGACAATAGGGAATTCAATTAAACTACTTCTTGAAGAATGAATAAATTTGAATGTGACAAGACTAATGGGCTAGGTATATTAAAAGAAAGGGAAAGCCTGTGCAAAAACTCAATGGATGTATAGTAAACCATGCCTAGGTATATAAAGAAAATGGTGAGCTTTCTGAATATGCTATATCAAGCCAAATGTGGACTGGCTAAAACGGGGTGGCCCTCAAAACTAGAGCAAATATTCATAAGAAAGATGCAGTGGACATCAGTCTCAAGAGCTTCCTATTAAAATATCTGCTTCCAAAGACTACATTATTCTTAGTAATTCTTGGGAGTATTATCTTTCTTTCAATTTCAATTTTTAGCTTTCTATATAGTTGCTGCACCATCCCTTGACCAGATCAATATTTTCTTGAACATTTTCATATATTAATCTATACACTATCTCACATATGTTTATTTCTAGATTGTCATGGATCCCTCCTAGTGAATTCTGTGATGTGTGAGAGGTTGAACAAGTATAGAAATTTGCTTATAAAAAATAAGCCATGTTGTAGGTGGGAAGTAAAAGGAGAAAACATGCAAAAGTCCTCATCTAAACTTGTATATGCTGATACTACACAAGGTTATTTCAGTGATGTCTGGTTTGCGGCAGGGAAGCAACTTTTCTTATACACTATGACACAAAGTTCATCAAATATGGTTGTTATAGACTTTGAGAACACCCAAATTTATCTTAGTAATTTCTACATTGAAAAACTACCGTTACCTTTAAGCAAAACTATTCATTGCAATAAATCTGAAATAGTTCTTTAATATTGCAGAACAGAAAATTGGTGGCATTATTCACTGAATGCCAATATTTTCCAATAACACCTATAGGGGTACTTAACAAAATGCATAGATAATTAAAGAGTGAAATGACACCCAGAAACAACTAATTATAGTAAAAATTATTATTACCTTATTTCAAATACTAGTGCACACTTTTGCTTTTTTTCCCAAAAGTTAATTTTTTTAACCTTTTGGTATGATATTTCACTTCATTTATATAACATGATAAATAGTATGTTTTTTTTTCATATGCACTCTCTGATGCACCCCAAATATATTTGCATATCCCAAGACCTTAGCAGATTTCTAAACACATTATTCATTAGAGAAACAGTAGTCACTTCTGAAATCTATATTGCCCTTTTCAAATGAGGTCTTGCATTTTTTTTCAAATATCTGAAATAATTAGGATGAACTTTATTCTCATTAGCATATAGTAAATGCTTGATAAATATTTGTGAAAAGGATGAAGAAATAATAAGAGCATTCATATAATCTGTACAATATGGTATGTGGTATTTCATGTTTTTAGCTACAACTTATGGAATATTATAACAATCTTACTATGTGGGTAAGATATGGGTATGATGAACCAATAATAAATAAAAATTGCATGCTGCATTGTTAGTAATTCACCAAACAATTTTTTTCAAAAACAGACACTCTGATGTGTTGTATTTATCAACTATGATAGTATGAATGAATGAAGTTAAGTAAATGAATAATTGGAACTACATACTTGCTTAGGGTGCCTATAATTCATTGTTAAAAACCCTTAGCTATATAAGATTTTAATACTGTATCTCACATTGTGACTTAATGGAATTTTGATAAAATGTGCAGTAATAATGCTGAAGTCTTTCATTGAATGTTATATCAATTTGTGAAATAAACATGCTATAAGTGATTTCCTCAATTCTAAGTGTCTTATGTTTTAAGAAACTGTATGGACAATTCAAATTAAAGTTAACATACTAATATCAAGAGCAGAAGCACCACAGGAAAAATGAAAACAAAGAATTGGGAGATTCCAACATTATATATGTAATTTTCTCAACATTTTTTTCAATGTACCTAACCCAGTATTGATACCAAAATTAATGAGCAACCTCTTCTCATGCTGAGTGTGCATGATGCTATTATATAAAATGAAAACAATTGCAAATGTTTCAGAGATACATCTTACAACAGTATCTCACTGTGTTTGACTGCAGCAAATACCTTCTCAGTGTTCAAATGGGTAAAAATTAAAAAAAAAATTCAAGTAAAATCCATGTTAAACAATAACAACAATTTTTTTCATAAGGAAACTGTCAATGTTTTTTTTTTTTTTTTGAAACAACATGACAATAAACTGTGCCCTATCACATAAAGGAAAGCAACAATTCTTCATTTTATTCTTTGAATATGCCAAGTATTCTTTGGCAAAATGCCACATATATTGTTTTAATTTTACAGGTGTGAATTATATCTGATTTTCTTTAAATTGCTACTTATTTAACATAAATTTGTTGAGAAATTATTTCTGCATTTGCTGATTAGTGAAATATAGTGAGAAATGGAAGTCATTTGAAGCTCTATGAATTGCAATCTCAGAATGGTAGAAGGAAGCTGTATATAATCATGAGAAACATATTGAGTACTATTAATTTGTTCCAGATATTTATTTCCCTTATTATCCACTTTTCACATAAACTAGTTCTTTTAAATTGAGCTGACTACTAAATATCCTAGGAAAAGCCATCAGAGCAATCAGAATAAGAAATTTAAAAGGGAAACAATCAAATCATATACATCTGGTTGAAACAACTAACCAACTGTTGGATCTTAGCTTTTGACTTTACTAAATCCCCTCCTTTTTTTCTTTTTTTTCTTTTTTATGATGACTAAGAGGAAGGTACTTCTAGTAAGAGCATGACCAGAACAATTTAAGGCAATTTTTTTTTCTGAAACATATATAAAATTGACTTGCTAACTCAGAATAAAATCAATTGAGTATATCGTTTTATGGTAAAAAAAAATGTATAACTACACAACGTGAAGATTGGCCTTTTGAAAAAAAGAATGTGATGGTGAAAACCAATTTGGAAAGTTAGTATTGTATATTTTATATCAAAGAAAAAGCAGAAATATTTTAAATACTTTTGATTATTAGATTCGTGTAAAAAAAATAAAAGGTAGTGTCCAGGCTTGATGTGGTGGTACATACCTGTAATCTCAAAAATCATAGAATCTGAGGCTGAAGGATCACAACTTCAAGGCCAGGCTTGGTAACTGAGACCAGGTCTCAAAATAAAATATTGAAGAATTGTGAATATATATGAGTAATAAAGCATCCCTGGGTTCATATAACTATATGAACTATAGTTCAGGACTATATAAAAACCGTAGTTTCCAAAATGTACACCCAAATCAGCAGCCTCCACTCTATCTGCAACTATGTAAAGTTCTAAATGGCAACTAAATTTAGCCATACCTACTATTAGTTGTCTGATATTGACCATAATTTTGAAATATATACATAGAAGATCCTTCACAAAGTATTAGGGGTTCCCATTATTTTTTCGAATGGCAATGAGAGAGGGAAGAAAACCAATTTGGCTTATGTGGCCACTTCTTTTTCTTAAGGCCAATGAGTCAAATATAAAAAGGCTTTAGCGTTTAATTGATTATCATTTATGTAATCATTGTTCTGTGATTTCCTGCTTAATATACATTGGATACTTTATTATTTCTGAGTATCAGCATCTTTACAGACCACTACACCCCAGTCTATTATTTAATAGTTACAAGTCCCTGTGTTCATGCTTCATCAGTTAGTTATTCTCTTTTAAAAATAATTATGTGTTGCATTTGTTGTCTACAGAAAATTTATGAAGGTTAAAAACTAGTAAGCATTTTCACAAATTTGACTTTAAAATAGTTTTCATCGCAAAACACACACCAGAAGTAAGAATGATTTCTTTCTCTAATTTATTAGCCTTTCTGACATCCAATATCAGGACATGAATGCTGCTCATGGAGGGATGTTCTTACCATCAAGAACAATCAATACTACTTTCTTCTATCCCATCAAATGTTACAAAAAGTGCACATTGTACTGTGTTTCATATGAAGAACTTGACTTTCCATTATTTGTGTTTAGTGGGTTTTCACTTTCTTTTTCATCACTTTGTTTTTTTCTGTATTTCTAATATTCAATTTTTTGTGTGTGTGTTGAGGAAAATAGATCACTAGAATCTTCTAACTTTTGCTACATTTAATCACTTGACTACTCACTAGCTAATATTTCTATTAAACCATCATTTGAAAGGTAGGACTGAGGTATGCTAACAAAACTGTTTTCAAGGTCTACTGCAGAATCAGCATAACTTTCTTCAGCTCTGTAGTTAGAGCCACTGTTTTGTCCACAAACTCTGTTCCCTTTGTTTGATTTTTCTTCTATATTGAGTAACTCTCTTTGAAATGAGGCACAGAAAACAGCTTTTTAGAATTTTATCATTTATGAAAATCTATTTTTATTCATCATTAAAGGACAGTCTGCTTCAATTAAGAATACCAGGTTGAATACTAGTTTTCCTTTAAATCCTGAGGTTATTCTGTATTTATCATCTATAATCCATCATTAGTGACAAATACTTGGGGTCTATTCTTGCTTTCTTGAAGCTGACCATGGTTTTTCTCTTCAGGATATTCACTTTGTTTTAAGCATAGCTACTTGAGAAATTCTGGAGATATATTTAGCATATTTAAATTTTATTTTCTTGATTATAGCATTCAGTCAAAATGGAATATTTCCAGACCTGATTTTCTTTCCAGTATATACTTGTAGGAAACTGGGTAAAATATGGAAAATACTATGTCTGTTTTGTAGACACCAAAAACAGGCATAGCATATGAGTGAAACCATAAGCAATAAGTGCAGACTGGTGAAGTGAATTATAACTGTATTTTTAAAATTGTTCTTAATAACTGTAGTTTGATAAAGTGCTGTTAAAACTTATGGGTAAAGGGGAAGTAAGAATAATCAAAGTATACCAGTGTAAGAAAAATTTGAAGTCTGGCACCTGAGAGCAGACTGTGTGGGAAACTTCATGTTATGATACAAAAGAATCCCCCCACTTTCTCTTCACCCTCTCACCCACTTAACCTCACCCAAAACCACAAAGATGCTTAGAATAAAATGTTTCAATTCAATAGTCACACTCTACAAATACAAAAAGAAGTCAAAATTCAACTTTACACAGAATCTTGTGTGCAAAGTCATGGGGATCTGAAACATCATATAAAAAGTTAGGTTAAAGATGATTCTGTTTTTTTTTTTGTGTGTGTGTGTATATGTGTGTGTGTGTGTTTTGTTTTGTTCTGAGGGTGTGGCTATTCCTTGGTCACCTGAACTCAGCAAAGACACTGTTATTTTGATGAAGTATCAGTGACTGACCCACATTAAATACAGACAAATGTTAAAAAAAAATTTTAAACGCCTAATTACGAAAAAATATATTGCTGCTTTCTCCCTGCACATTTTTCTTTTTAAACTCTTTTTTTAAAGTTTTTGATTTTTTCTAATCTTGAAAAATAGTGAAAAATTCTGGTAGAATTTACAACCAACTGCATACGGGTCTGGGAAGCTGACAGGCTGGAGCAGGACTGGGAGGAGCAGACAGAAAGGGGTCTTTCCCTTAGTTACTGGAGGCCAAGTATAAATAAAAAGAGACAAAAATCAATAAGTGCTTGTAAACCAGGAATTTATACAGATTATCAAGTTAGTATCAGTTATAAAAAAATCATATACTCAAGAAATTCTAGAAATCATGAACAGGATTAGAAAAAATAGGTGTAAATTATATTTTTAGAAATTTATTGGTGATACATAAAAAATAAAGATGAATTTTATATTTTCATTTTAAACGGAAGGCAGAGAGATATGTAAGCCATATAGTACTTCAAAAACCTTACTTAAGTTACAAAAGTATAATGAATTGATAGCTTCTACTTATTTTATTCTCTATCTTCCTTGGCATTTCACCTGAGGTCACACTTGTAGAGGGTGACCAATTACTAAGCAAAGAGCTAACCAAGAAGATGGTCACTGAAGTTACACTCTTTCTCAGAAAACCCCAATCAATTTCAGAGCAAAGGTGTGATACAACACCTATTCATTTCCTTCTTTGGGAAAAGGTCCCTTTTGTGAATCAGATAGAAGAGGAAATTGGCCAACCTCTATCAAAATATTACTAGAAATAAATGTGAGTTATCTTCATTTAGAAGTAAACTGAAATAAAATAACACCATTGTACAGTATCTTTCACGGTTAGCCTTGAAAAATAAAAAAAAATAAATAAATAAAAATAAAAAATCTCTTTCCAAAGAGCAGAATACTTGGCAGCACACTTAATCCTTAATTACACGTGGAAAAAGAAGTTACCTCAGGTAAGAAGGTACATAAACTAATAGGAAGAAATCAAGACTTGGTGAAGGGTCTAGAAGGAACTTTTGATGACTCTAAAATTTGGGGGTACAGTAATAAGGATGCATCTCTGAGAGAGACAATGCAGTGTAAATATCATGGGATTTCATGCTATCACATACCAAAGCACATACATCATGGACATTGTACAAGACAACCAAGTTGACAACTGTACTTGGCTAGTTGTTTTTATCCAGCCTCAGATGCTGCACAGGATGAATGAGGACTGAGTACCATAATGGTTTCCATCACCACATTTTATCTATCAAATTCTTCTTCCAATTTTTTTTATATCCAGCCAGCTAGGAGGAGAGGTCTATCTCTCGGTTCTTGTTACAGCATAATTCTTTTCATCATTCTCTCATAATAAATTAACAAGTGGACCTCTTTTAACCCAGAAATAATTTTAATCAGAA